CCCCCCAGCAGCCTGTGCGGCCATTTGTCACCATGCCTGACCCCTCCCGGCCACCCTGCAGCTGGGGACGGTGTGGCAAGAACGAATTGGGGAGAGAAAAACAGAACAAATCCTCTTGCAACACAATGGAGCAGTCTCAAGCCCAGACGTGTGACAGTGACACCCCCGGTGGGGACGGCCCTGATTGGGGTGGGGGGGCCTCCTCTGCCACAGCAAAGGACATCTCTTCTTTGCAGCAGGGCGGAGGGACAATTTTTTTGCCAGTTTGAATTACAGCTCTGAGCTTCTCAGCCCAGGACACATCAAAAGACCACAACCTGTCAGTAGCAGTATCTACCAATTTTGCACACAGATCAAGTAGAAAACTCCTTTGAAGGGGGATATTATTCAACGTAGATGCAAGCTTCACTGGCAGACAGAAATCCAACCCTCTGCAAACAATCCGCCTGCTGAGGCTCTTTTCCTGCCGCCTTTAACTCTAATCACAAGCCGTCATTAATCCTGCCTAACAAAGCACTAAAAAAAGACACAAACTATTGGTCAGGGATCTGCCTCCTTTAATCTCGTGTTCTCCCAAATTATCGCAGCTGGAGAGCCCCTTTTTTCCCCCCTTTCTTTCACGTTTTTCAGTGCTTGCGTTGCCCTACAAATTGGCTCAAAGAACATGGGCAGGACAGGAGCTCAGCCCCGCCGCGTGGGCTCAGCCGTGTTTTGTGCCTCCCTTCGTTTCGGCAGGACCTTTCAAGTTTTCCAGTTTCCACTCAGCAGCAAGACGAGGGATTTTAACTCCTAAGAGCTGGTCTAAAGTTAACGGCCTACAGCTAATTGTCCTTGACAGCCAGCAGCGTCAGCGGCTGTCCGTGGGGAGCCACAACCCAAGACCAAGACCAAAAGCAGCCAAGACTGTGGCGAGCAGGAGATGCTTTTATCTGCAGCCTCTTCTGCTCCCGGTGCCCTCCTGGATCCAGGCATTGAGTAGCCACAGGAAAATGTTCCCGTCTGCCGTCACACCGCAGCCCCACAGCCACAGCTCAGTCACGGGGCTAGAAACTGCTTCCCAAGGACGTTCCCCAAACCCACTGGCCCGCGAGCAGGCAGCGCCTGTAGCAGCCTGCACCCAGCTGCAAAGAGGTGGCTGCAGGCACCCAGGCAGTGCAGCCCAAGGGTGCAGTGATCGGCAGCCTCCGCCCTGCACCACCAGTGACGCTCCAAACCATGCACTGTGAGCAATGCTCCAACCCTGCACCGTGAACGATGCTCCAACCCTGTACCACGAGCGATGCTCCAACCTTGCACTGTGAACGATGCTCCAACCCTGCACCACGAGCAATGCTCCAACCATGCACCGCCAACGATGCTCCAACC